CAAGAAGTTTGTTTCTCTTTATATAGTTAAAAACAGATTCTCTTACTCACTTGAATCGACACCAAAACATTCAAAGATTGGTTTCCCATCACCATCAAGCTAGATTCAGCTTTAAATATCTTTTGGCCTTTTGATTGCCAGAATACCTCACATAGTCACGTGCTGCCCAGTAATTATGCAATTCATGAAAGAAATTCAAAGAAGCAAGATCAATCTCTAGCATAGCTTTCAATTTCGAGAGAGATCAGTACTCGTTCTCGTAATATATGCAATAATTTTCGGGGCTATCATGTAGTCTGTAGCTTCAATACAGCTGGTTTTTTTTTCTGGGAGAAAACTGACAAAAAAAGGCCATTGACAATGAAATATCGAAAGGTGGTTTCTCATCATGGTCCTAGGGAATCTATTTTATGTATATTTTGTTGACTTGTGATTGTTAGATCACTTTCAGGCACTGTGTAGAAGGAAAGAAAAAATGATATTTTCTATAGTAAGATTGATTTTTTAGGCGTTTATGGCTAGTGCATCCTTAAAANTTTGTATTGATTCTAAAACACTAGTATTTATCCCAAATAATCGTATTTTGTCATATGCTTATCAGCTTGAGTTATAATTTTATTCTTATTTCGTAGTAATTTTTGGATATAATACCAAAAATAACCCTACAATATTACAGATAATGACTAATGGCCATACTTTTTCTGACCTTGTGCTTCTGTTGACAACAACTAATGCNCTCATGGGCTTAGTTTAGTGGTCTAACAATAAACAAGATGTAAATCTGTAGTTCTACTCGTTGATTACATAAATGCACTTAGATTGCAATTGATTACGTGAACTCTAAATTTATGTTATAGTCACCGGTCTAAAGTATATGTAATTGAGACAATCGCTTCATTAAAGCTATATCACCATAAAATAGAGCAGTATGATGCATCTATAAAAAGACTAATTGAACTTGAAAGATAGTAAAGTGTGCATCTCTCCAAAGAGGAAAGTGGAAAAAAAAACTAGCAGAATTGGCTAAAAAAATGGTGTACCCAGTGCAAGGCTCCTATTNAAAGGCGATCTAAGCGTCTCATCTAGATGGCATTCGTCATATTCGGCCTGGGCCACAGCCCAACACCATAGAAGTCCAGGATCATCCAACCTGGGATAGACGCCAGCCCAGCTCTAGCACGCTCAGTGATAAGCATCTGCTCAGGAGTCTGGAGCTCAGCGCCAAGCAAATCTAAGGAAAACTTATCGTGCCACGTGGACAAGAGACAATACCTGGCAACTCTAGGACAAATGAGGAAGAGACCACTGNTGTTTCGACTTGTTTTTGTTGATTTGAGAAGCCATTTTTTTTTATAGAAAGCCATGCCTCTTGTACTCACCCCCTTCCCACTACCGCTGCTTTTGGTGCTGCTAGCTCCACCCATTCAACCGGCCGGATCTACTGAATCAACAGAGTCGACTAAATCGATATCAACATTATGTTCCCTCTAACGATCAAAAAATTCATAATCCTTCCCATCCATGGTAATACCAAAAAGAAAACGGGTAAGAACTCAAATGTACAACATAATGCCCATACTACTTAGGTTGCCACTTATGCCCGTACGTCTGCTGATTCAGTAGATCATATAAATTATACTATTCATCAATTAACTCAAATTAGCATGTCTGCTGCGTAAGGTATGATCATGTTTGCACAAACATAAGAAATCAAAGTCATTCAACATTCGAGCAGCAAATCAATACCAATAGGGTTGGTAGGCACATTTCTACTCAACATGGCTCTTTGCGAATCTATGGCATTTCCGTTCGGATAAGGGAAAACTCCAGAGATTGCTTCAAAGTAAGATTCTTGTGTTGACCCTTTCCTGAACCAGAACCGAGGGAGGGTGAGAGGAAAAGGGGATCCAAATTTCCCATAAATAAAGTGAGGGCATCCGCCGACCTGNCTCATGGGCTTAGTTTAGTGGTCTAACAATAAACAAGATGTAAATCTGTAGTTCTACCCGTTGATTACATTAATGCACTTAGATTGCAATTGATTACGTGAACTCTAAATTTATGTTATAGTCACGAGTCTAAAGTATATGTAATTGAGACAATAGCTTCATTAAAGCTATATCACAATAAAATAGAGCAGTATGATGTATCTATAAAAAGACTAATTGAACTTGAAAGATAGTAAAGTGTGCGTCTCTCGAAAGAAGAAAGTGGAAAAAGAAAACTAGCAGAATTGGCTAAAAAAAATGGTGTATCCAGTGCAAGGCTCCCATCATTACAGAGTTTAGAGAGAATTAGATGTACGCAACCTTATTCCTACAAGTAAAAAGACTGTTTCGACTTGTTTTTGTTGATTTGAGAAGCCACATCAAAATAAGCAACAAAGACTACATGGTTTCTGATGGATAGTCAAAAAAAAAAAAATGGCTGCTCATCATGTTCTAAGTAAGCTGTAGCTGTTTTGCTTCAAGTGTGCCTGTGGAATCTCCCCCCCCCCCCCCCCCCCCCCCCCCCCC